CCACACATCTCCCCTGGCCCAACCCCAACCCCAACCTGCAGAGGTCCAGGCCCTCCACCCACCCCACACCCCACGCTTCACAGGGGGCTCGACAGTCACTAGCATCATCCTCAAAGGCACATGGTCCAGTCACCCCCCTCCCCACCCTCCGCAGGTCCCACTGCACTCAGGATGGGGCCCTGCTGGACCCACCCCCTTTGTTCAGGCTGCTGCTCTGCTCCCGTCCCTCCCCTCCACCTCGCCTCCCCTCTCTGGGACCTTGCCTTCCCCAAGAGTGAGCCGAGTCCACACGGTGCTAGCAGCAGCTCCTGCAAGGCCAGGGGTGCTCATGCGCCCAGGTGGTGGCAGAGAAAAAACAAGTAGGTGCCTGGGGCGTCAGTGCCCCTTCCCCCAGCCTATCACCTGCTGGGGAAGGTCCCAGTCGCTCCTTCAGGTCCCCAAGTAGGGGAGTGGCCCCTCAGCTGGGACAGCAGGGTGTTTTTGACTAATTGTGTCTATGCAGCCAAGTGACAGGGATCTGGCCCTGAGCCGACAGCTTCATTAGAAGAACATGGGAGCCCTGGCCAGTTTGGCTCAGTGGTCAGAGCATGGGCCTGCAGACTGAAGGGTCCCAGATTCGATTCCAAGGACATGGATCTCGGTTGCAGGCTCAATCCCCGGCCCCAGTTGGGGCTTATGCGGGAGGCAACCCATCGATGNATACCTCGGTTGCAGGCTTGACCTAGGCCCCAGTTCAGGACGCATGTGGGAGGCAAGCAATCTATGTGTGTATGTGTCTCTCTCCCCCTCCTTCCACCCCCTCTGAGAAGCAATGGAAAAAATATCCTCCTGTGAGAATTAAAAAACAAACAAACATGGGAGCCCAGGAGGGGGCCATCACCTGCACTGGGCCACATCAAGCTAAGCACAGTGGAGAGAGACCTGGGCTGCCCCTGGAACTCCCAGAAGGCAATTCTGAGCCAGATGCAGTTCCAGCAAGGGCTCTATCAGATCCCCCCGGAGCCACTCACAGGCGGCCCTGACCCTCTTCTTGCCCTTGGTGTCTTAGAGATGGAGATAGAGGCCTGTGGCTGGCTGGAATGCCTGACATGGCCAGCCTGAGGTTCCTGACTGCCCGCCAGGGACAGGGTGAGATCAGAGGCCACAGGGACCTCAACCCCTGCTCCAGGCTCCAACGCTGGGTCTCAGGGCTGGCTCAGGGAAGTCCCGTTGGTAACCTTCTGACAGAGCCTGGAGCAGTGTCATCCCCCCCCCAGGGCCGCTGCAGTGGACAGCAGCCACCTGGCACTGGCCTTGGGAGGAACCCACTGGGTGCTGCGGGGGGAGGGGGGGGCGCACCTATTAACATCCACACCCACAATCAGCCTCACTGTCAGTATTGCAGCGGACCCCAGGCCTTCCTGCAGCCACCTCGCCCTCAGCCCCTCCAGCTTCCACACCCTCAGGGTAACAGGCCTCAGCCAAACCTTCCAGACTCTGTCTTCTGTCTGGGTCCCAGGGCCTGACTGCAGGACTGTGGTCTGAGCTCTCTTGTTTGGGGCAAAAATGGGGTGGGGGTAGAACCCCCTAGGGATTGCAGGGGATGGCAGGCGTCTTTGCTTAGGTCCAAGCCCCATCAGAAGTCAGACCCCTTGCACAACGGGAGGAGGGGGCAGGGCCCCCGGGAAGCCGGAGGCATCCTACGGGGAGGGCCTCGCCCCTGCCCAGCTGGCTTTTCTTTTTCAAACCAAAGTACCCACCCTGGGGCTGGGCCCTCCGCCCGACCTGGGGGCTGCCTGACCCTAGACCAGGCGCACCCCAAATGCATGCTCGGACATTTTGGGGCCCGGGAGACCCGCCCTTTTTGCCGGCTGTGACGCCACCGGATCCGGGCCTGGTGGGGGACAGTCCGGGTCGACGAGGCCGGAAGACGACCCTTGTCCCCGCCCGGGGCAGCGGCGGGCAGGAAAGTTTCCTTCACGCCCCCCAACCCGCCCGCATCCCACGGCCCCGCGCAGGGCCGGGGGCGGTT